CCCCACCTGCTTTTCACCCTGGATTGCAGCCCCGTAGAGACCTCTACACAGCCTGCAGTTACCTCTGAGAATCTTAGTGCCCCTCCGCCCACAGCACGCAGCACCAGAGGACAGCAGAGCAGAAGGCCTTTTAGGGACCGGCTAGCCTGGGAATTTCCTACTGAGTGGGGGCTGTCACACCTCTGCTAGGGAGGGCTGTGTGGGCCGGGTCATTCCAGCAGTTCCATTTTCATGTTGATTTTATTGAAAAAAAGGGGGAGTGGTTCAAAGAAAGGGTTTCCTGCTTTGAAGATACTTTGAAAACCACAGATGTCATCCTTCCTTCACACAGATGGGGAACCAGCCTGAGCAGAGGCCCAGGGACTCGCCAGTCTGTGTGGCAGGCCTGAGGGGCCGCAGGAACACACAGCCACTCTGCAGGCCAGAGGGAGCGCTCCCTGGCTCCTTCAGTCCTTCAGGGACGAATGTCTGCCTGCAAAGGGGCAGCCTGGGGCCAGTGCTCCAGGACATCTGTGTTCCCAGGTGGCACTTGGGCAACTCTTCATTGTCCATCGTTTTTGCCCTTAGGTAGAGGAAGACATCTGTGAAGTGGTAGTGTGCGTGATTTGAGGGAGGGAAGAAGGGGAAAGGAGGGACAACTTAGATCGGGCTGTAATGTAGACTCATTTTGTGACCTTGGGCAATTCACATGTGCAACTGAAAACCACAGTTTCCTCCACGTAAAGAGAAGGCTCCCATCCTAGTGCCTTCTCGGAGCTCGTGTGTGGAGGCTCCATTCTTTTGTTCATGGACTCATTCACCCAAATGTCTGAGACCAATTTAAATACCAGCAGCCCTGCTCGTTTAAAATCTAGGTTTTGTTTTGTTTTAAGATTTTATTTATTTGAGGGAGGGAGAGAGAGAGAGCTCGTGCACAAGCCTGGGGGTGGGGCAGAGGGAAGGGAGAAGCAGGCTCCTGCTGAGCAGGGATTCCCAACATGGAGCTCCATCAGGGGACCCTGGGATCAGGACCTGAGGCACCCAGGAGCCCCTAAAATCTAGGTTTTGACAGGGCAGTATCTCCCAAGGCCAAGGGATGAAGTGTCTCTGCCCAATAATGATGCTAGTTGACATTTAGGAACTGTTCACTGTGTTCCAGAACTGTTCTGAAGCATTTTCATATTAATTCATTTAATTCTCACCACAACTGTGTGAGGTAGAAACTGTTCTGCCCATTTTATATATGGGAGAAATGAGACACAGAGTGATTAAGCAACTTGTCCAAGGTCACACAGCTAGTAAAAGGCAGAGCTGGTCTTGAATTTCCTGGAATCCAGGCAGAAAGAGCAGGAACTACCTGCGACCCATCTAGAACTCACTTTTTTTTTTTTTAATCAACTTATAATTTTTCTTCCTGATAAACTAGCAAAGCCAGCTTTGCCCCAAAGGTGGAACCAGGTTGCTTTCCAACCTCTTGCCAAGGGGACCGAAGGGGCCTGTCCACAATTTCTGCCCTGACCCCTGATGGACCTCTTTGCGGAGGATTTTGGAGAGGGCAGGGAAATGAGTCAGACTGGGCCCAGGAAGGCCTCAGAAGAGGACCAATGGTGAGGGAGGAGTCTGTCCCAGCCAATAGCCCCAAGGAGGAGGGGCACAGCCTGAGTTTTTATCTGGCAGTTAGAAGCCTGGGCCCCAAGGACCTCCAAGAGCCCCCACCCCAGCACAGCACTCCCTCCCCTGGTCGAGACATCCCAGCCCTGACTCCGTAGTCCCTCAGCCACGGCGAACCTTGCCCAAGCAGCTCCTTGCACCTTCCAGCGGCTCTGACCTTAAGCCCTACACCCATCCCTGGAAGCTCCTCCTTTTCATCTGGGGCCCCTCAGACAGGTCTGTCCATAAAGGGCTTGGCATAGAGGAGGCTTCTGAGGAAGTTCTTTTCTGCTCTTCCTGCCCCTCCTCAGAGATTGGCAGGCCCAACCCTACTGGTCCTGATCCTCCTCCCGGATCTGGTGACCCCACTGTCTCTTCAGTGTGTTTCCTCTGTCTCCTGGGCCTCAGGGGTGGTATAGAGTTAAGGACAGTGTTTCCCTCTTCGTGGGTCTACTACCCCTGGACCATTTGTGGGAACTTGGGTAGGTAACTTCCCTTCTGGAGCCTCAGTTTCCTTATCAAATAAAAGGTACAGTAGTGGGGGCTCCCACAAAAGGTGGCAATAAGCAAATAAAATCATGCACAGGCCTGGCACCTGGAAATGGTTGGTCAGCAAAAGAAAGGACCTCTTCCATTCTGGCCTAGCACCCTGAGCCTGTAGGAGTTCTCTGAGCCTTGGTTTTACCCTCCTACAACATAAGGACATTATTCCTACCCTCCCCGCTTGGGGTGGGGGGTGGCTGTAAGGGCTCTCCCTGTCTAATGTGGGGATGGGTGGGTTTTCTTTGACTTTTTAATATTTACATTTATCTATGTTCTAGGGGTTTTGTACAGAATAAGGTGTGCCTTTCGCTGGGTGTGTTCACAAGTGATATCTTGCCTCCGGAGGCTAAGGCCCTGCTCTAAGGAGTCTCCTGGGCAGGGACTGGCCTCTGAAGTATGGTTGGGGATAGGGAGAGAAGGCTCCCCTACCAAAAAGTCTTCCTGACCCCTTTCTAGAAAACCTGACCCAGGACACTGGCCTTGCTGGCGACAGTGATCAGCGTTGGCTTCTGGGCACCAAGCTTAGATTGGGCTCAGGAACTTTCACTTTTGTTTCTTTTTACTTCTCACATTCTGGGAGTAGGGTGACCTAGTTTTTAGCAGCTTTGTGTGTCCCTCTCTGCCAAAAAGACTGCAGGACCTACAGCATTGCTGGGTCCAGTGCGACCTGAGCCCGGCACTCAGAGCTGGCTTTAACCTGGCTTCACCTCAGCTAACCCACCCACTCCCCATATTTCCCCCTCCTCCCCATAGCCCTGGGTCCACCAGCTCCCTCATCCTGCCTGGCTCTTTCTGTGTCCACTTTGCCTCCTTACTGCCTCCTCCGGGGAGGGTTCCCTGGTACATCAGTGGTCCCCATAGCCCACACTACTCAGTCCCATGCACATCCTGTGGTGTCCCACTGTGGCCTGCGGGGGACATGGGAGCTGGCAGGGACATTAGTGTGGGCCTCACCAAGCCCGTCCCTCAGATGGGGACCCTCTGCCCCTTGACCATGGGCACCCACACCTGCCCCTGCACAGACACATACCCTTGTGATCACTGCATCTCCTTAGAGAAGCTCCGAACTCGCTGCAAGTGTGAAGTCAGCCATTACTTGTCTCCTCTCACCCCACCCTGATGGGACCTTATGGGATCTCAGGATTGGAGGGACTTGAGGGTCATCCAGTTGGCCTCCAGTGCCTGAACCGTTTTGAGACGAGTCACTTGTTTGTACTCCCCCAATGCTGGAGAGCTCATTACCTTGTAAGGTCACTCTTTCAGTTTTTGTGGAAAGCTTTGATTGAAAGATCTTTCTTGGGCTGAGCTAAAATCTGTCATCCTGCCTTTTTACCCGTTGGTCCTGATATTGCCCTCTGGAGCCCCAGAGGTCTCCACTGTGTCTTCCAAAGGCTGGTCTCCAGGATGAACAGACCCAGTTCTTGCCACCTTCCTTATAAGACCCTTGTTTCCAACCCCTTCTCCATCTGGCCACCACTTGTGGACATACTTTCGATAGTTGCTGCCTCTCAGACAAAGCCAGGGCCAGGCTGGGTGAGGAAATCCAGCTGAACACCGGCTCCTGCAGGACTGGCAATGCCTTGCCCAGGGGCTGGTGGCACTCTGGCCTCCAGGCCGCCCTACCAACTCCTTTGCATCTCTTCAACTAGAACCCCTCTGGCTCCCACCAGTCGCTATGGCTTCCATCTGACATATTCTCTAAGAACCTCTGTGACTCCATTATCACAAATACCACATTAACATACTGAACCCCAATTTTTGTTTTTATTGCTGTGGTAGAAAACACGGAACACAAAATTCACCGTCCTCACCATTTCAGAGCCTACGGTTCAGTAGCATTACCTACATTCACATGTACGTAATGTTGTTGTACAACAGATCTCCAGAACTTTTCCATCCCGAAAATCTGAAACTCCACCCAGTAAACAGTACCTTCCCTTGTCCTCCTCCCTCCCATAAACCTGACATCTTTACCTTTCATACCAACCAGGGTTTTTCCCCTCTCTTGACCACAAAGACCTGAAGAGTTCAGGTCACAGCTCCTCCTCTGTCTCGGTGGCACGATGGTAGCAAGCAGCTACCATCACCCCTTCCTTCGTGGTGTCCCCCATGTCTGCCTGTCAGCTACAACCTCCCAAATCCTGCCGTTCAGCCCACCTGCCCCTGCCCACATTGCTGTGACCAGACCTCACTGAACTGCCCCGCTGGGCCCCACAGGCCTAACTCATCAGGTGATTAGAACCCCCTTGGGCCTGCTCAACTGCCACCCACCGTGGGCGTGACCCACAGTCACCTTGCCTGTCCTGGCCCACATGTAGCCCAGAGCTTCCTGAGGGCAGGCCCCGGCCTGGGTCTTCCTTCTCCCGCATCGCCTCAGAGACCCAGTGGGATTTGATTCAAAGCCCCGGGAGACCTGGGGAATCTGGCTGAGGCAGGGGAAGAAGACTCCCTGTTGGGTCATCTCGGTCTCTGGGGTGAGAAGATCAGAGGAGAGGAGAGGAGGCTGGCAAATGACCTTGGGCGGGGGGAGGAGTAGCTCTTCTTCACCCTCCACATGCACCCTTACCTCCCACGGCCAAGCCTCAGGGACAGGCCCCTGCCAGGAGAGACAAACTCTGTGTAACGACCCTGTGGCTCTTACTCATAACCCACACGACTGGCTCCCAGATTCCCACTGCTGGTGCTCAGTGCCTTCCAACCAGCCTCACTAGCTTCTGTCTGAGCCACTTTGGGGCCTCCAATCAGGGGCCACCTTCCTGATCCCCAAGCCCATGGTAGGTTACTTTTCTCCAAGTTCCTCTTGGCTTCCTCACCTGCACCTTGGCTATCACTCTACCGGTGCCTGTTTACAAGGCTGCCTCCCTCTGTGTGTGAGCTCCCTGAGGGCTGGACAATGTGGATGTGTCTCTGGAGCTCTCGTACAATCCAGGAGGCCGGTGTGGAGGAGGCACTCAGAGACCAGATGAACCGATGGGTGGGTGATGGGTGGCTGGCTGTGGCTGGACAGATGATGAACCACGAGATGGACGGAGGAGTGGTGGGGAGACAGATGGAGGGTGGGGGATGGAGGGGGTTCCATTCCAGAACCAAACTGGGGTGACTTCTGTCCGCTGTTGACCTTGCCTCCACCCACTTATTCTCTCTCTAACTGCAGCCTCCTTGAGCTTGTCCTTTCTGAGGTCATGACCCAGTTGCATCCCTGGGCCCAGCTGATCTCCCACCCCCCCACCACATTCTTTTCCACCCTGTCCCCTCAATCCACTTCCCCAGTGCTGTCCTCCCTAGGCCCTTCTTTATCTGTTCCAGTCTTTTTGGTTTCCACAGCACAGTACGGGTACCCTCGCCACAGCCAGGCCTGTTCTCCCTGGGCTGCCACCTCCAGCCCTTCCCAGCCCCCACCATACCCCCTAGGTCCGGTCTGAGCTCTTCAGTCTCCATACATTTTGTCCCAGCGGTTCCATTGCTCCCTATCCCGCCCCGCAGCGCCCCCGCCTTCTGTGCACCTGCGGCCCAGCCTCCACTCAGCGGCCAGCGCGGTCTCCCAGAAACACAGGTGTCCTCCTCTCAGCCCCTTGTGCCCATTCAGCCCCTTCCCGCTGCCCTGGATAAAGCCCCAGTTCTCTCACGTGCGGTCCACAGGCCCTACCTGACCCAGGAGGTGCCACTGTGCAGAGATGGGGAGGCCGGCTCAGGGGTGTGGAGCACGGTGTCCCTATCGCCCGGCTGGCCGGGGTGCCGAAGGGGAGCACAGTCTCGCCCTGCGGCCTGGGCCTCGGGCTGGGCGGCATTCTGAAGCTGCCATCGCACTTTTTTGGTGGGTCCCTTCTCTGCACTGAGACCTTCTCCATTTGAAATCATTGCAGCTTCCAAGCAGTTTAATAATGAGGTCCTGAAGGCCCACAACGAGTACCGGCGGCAGCACGGCGTCCCCCCACTGAAGCTCTGCAAGAAGCTTAACCAGGAGGCTCAGCAGTGAGTCCCCAGAGCTCGGGGGTGACGTGGGCCCTTCAGGGCGCTATCACGGGGGGGGGTAGGGGGGGGGGGGGAGGCAGGGGGCAGCCCGGAGGACGCGGGTTTGAGGGGCAGGTACAGCCAGGCTTGAATAAATAACCCTTGCACCACTGACCTCGGCAAGTCCTTTTCCTCTGAGCCTCAGTTTGCTCCTCTGTAAAATGGGGCTGTTGTGGGGCTCAGAAGAGCAGCTGGCGTGATGCTCCCAATCTCCACGGCCAGCCTGGGGCGGGAAAGGAGGCTGGGCCGCAGCAGCTTAGGGCTCACATCCCGGGGCTTCCCTGAGGCGGCCCGCTCTGAGGGGCCCGTGGACTCTGGCAGGTATTCGGAGGCCCTGGCCAGCACGAGGATCCTCAAGCACAGCCCGGAGTCCAGTCGTGGCCAGTGTGGAGAGAACCTGGCATGGGCCTCCTACGATCAGACAGGTAGGTCGCTTTCTCGGCTGCCCTCCCCCTCCTCCCCTCTGGCTGAGCTGGGCCCAGGACATCCAGTGTTCAGGCCCCAGCACCCCCCTCCATGTAGCCTTGGAGCCACAGGCCCAGAGAGGGAAAGGGGCCCCAGAGCTCTCTGTGTGCACTCCCTGGGGCTGCTTGCAGCTCTCCGAAGTCTCAGATGGCCAAGGGGCTGGGCCTGTGCCGGGTGCCAGGGACACAGAGATGAGTCAGACTGCCCGGCCCTCCCTCTCAGAAGAGCTCCCAGCTGGGGCGTGGGGGCGGGGGCGAAAGTCTTTTCTCTACCCTTTCTGTGCAGTTTCAGCCTGACCCTGTAGGCTCCCAAGTATCCCCAGCTGCAGTTTTGCTTTCTTCCCATTTTGCTTTCATTTTTAAAATGTTGGTGTATTCATTTTTATCATCAGAAAAATGCAATTGAGCTCTTCCATGTTAGGAAAAAAAAATGAGAAAGACAATCCCTCCATCTGAGGTCACAGCCTGGAATGGTGATCCCGCCACACTGACCAAACATTCTTGAGCTTCCCGGCTCTGACGGGGCTGTCGTGGCTTTTTAGGAAAAAAGCCGGAGAGAGACACTTTGCCCTCTGAAGTCTTCTCCAGACCCCAGTGGGAGGATGGCTGCTCCCTCCTTCCTGGGCCTAACATTCCTGGGAGTTCCCCTGGGGAGGCCTGCTGTCCTCCTCTCAGTTTCCCTTCCCTGAACTGCAGGCCTGGAGAGGGGAAGAGGTGCGCCCACGCTGGAGCCTGCAGCCTCCTTTCCAGGCCGGGGCCATGGGCCCTAATGGGGAGAAGGCTCCCTGAAGGGTCAGGAACCGGCAGGCAATGGAGGTGATTGGTCCCAGCCTTGCGTTGGTCCCCTATGGAGCCCTGAGCAAGTCGCTACCCTCTGTGGCCCCAGTTTCCCCATCCCTCTCCACAGACGGTCTTTAGCCCCACCCTGGGGACACATTGGGATCTTTTGCAGCACTTTTAGAAAAGACCCATGCCTGGGTCTCTCTCTCCTCTAGAGACACTGACACAGTCTGTGGCAGGCCCCAGGCATCAGCCTGGTTTCAGAGCTCCCCGGGTGAGACCCGCGTGTGGAGGCCTGGCTGCTCAAAGTGTGGTCCTTGGGGAAGCAGTGGCATCTGGGAGCTTGTTATAAATGCAAACTCAGAGGCTGCAGCTTTGACCTAGGCAGTCAGAATCCGAATGTTAACAAGTGCCCCAGGTGATCCATGTACATGTGAAAGTTAAGGGTAAGACTTACTGCTGTGGAATGGAGGCTCCCACAGTGGCCTGGACATCAACAGCTCCCAGGGAAATGCTGTGGGTGTTCTCCTGCCTGGAGTGGAGACCCTGACCCACCAGCCCAAGTGCCTTTCCTCCTGTGGTTATTTCAGGAGACACACTTAGGTTGGGGTGAGGGCAGAGTGTCCCGAAAACTCAGAGAATCATTAGAAGCCCTTGGAGTACGTTGCATACAACCCTTGTACAGAGGCCCAGAGAGGGGAAGGCATTGCACGGGATTACACAGTAAGTTAGTGGTAGGGCCGATCCCCCAAAGCCAGGCCAAGGGTCTTCCTAAGCAAGGCCCTCTCTGCAGAGGGGGATGGGCAGGAGTCCCTGTTTCAGCTCACTGGTGCTTTATCAGACGTCTCTGGGGTATGTGGTTTGGGGTTAGTGGGAGAAGGTGGAAGGAGTAGCGAGTGGGTTAATTTTGCTGCCGAGTTTGAAACAGTGTCTTTTCCATACAGGAAAGGAGGTGGCTGATCGATGGTACAGTGAAATCAAGAACTACAACTTCCAGCAGCCTGGCTTCACCTCTGGGACTGGTGAGTGAGGGGGTCACCCCTGTGGCCTGGGCCTGGGCAGGGTTGCAGTTTGGGCATCTGACTTTGGAAAGGCACTAACCCTCTGAAAATCGATCGTGTCTCTCCTCTTTTACCTCTTCTGTATTTCTCTGGTTCGACTTCACCCAAAAGGCAGTAGTGTCCCCTTCACTTCCTCCAACACTCACGCACCCCGCTCTGAGTACACCCAATCCAGGAATTCCTGTCCCACCAGCTCCAAGTTCTCCACATGACTAGAGTGTGCCGTAAGGAGGCTGTCGATTTTTAAAATTCCCAAGTGCCTCCTCCCAGAAGTGGTGGTATAACCGGTCATCCTCCTGCCAGTTTTGGTCCCCTCCAATCCAGCCTGCTCCAGCATCCAGAATATTCTTTCTAAAGCCCTCTCATCAGGAAAAGGGCCACACGGTTCACTCTCTCCTTCTAGTCTTAACTCCCTCCCCCTCATACCCTGCATCCTTCCAAGGTGCTCCCCACACCTCCAGCCTCCCAGGCGTCTCCCCTGCCCCCCAACTCTCATCCCTTCACCTGTTCTCTCCAGTTTGCATTCAGATGAGCTTGGAGCGCAGACAGCCTAGATCTGCTCTCAGCTCCAGCACTAGTCGTGTGAACTTGGGTTGCCTCTCTGTCCTTCCCTGTCCCAGAGGGCGAGGGGCAAGGCGGTAGCCTCTAGGGGACATTCTGAGAGCCGGTGTGTAGATGCAGGGCAGTGCCACAGGCCATAGCGGCCGTGGGACCATCCCGCTTTCTTGTGAGGCCTCCAGGGTGAGCAGGAAACATTTAGCTGACTGAAGCCCTAGGCAGCCGCTCTGTGTTCTGGACCCCCACCTGCCCCTCAGCTGACTCCCCTCACCTGGCACCTGTCTTTCCTCAGAACTGACTCAGATCTACTTGCGGCCCAGGAGGGGTTGGACGGGACTGAGAGTTTCTCTGACCAGAAGGAGCCAGGGAAACTGAAAAGGGGATTACCTGCCCATCCCTACCCTACCCTACCCCATCCCACCCATGGGTGGAGCTCCTGTGGCCTCTCACCCTCTGGAAGATTCTTCCGCAGCAGGAAATGACATGCTCTCAGAGCCAGTCACTGTTTCCTGTGGTTTGTTGCTCACCCCTTTGGGGCAGAGGTTCTTGCAACAGTGTGGGCAGGACTGTGGGGCAGAGGTGCAGATCTACTGAGGCATTTCTCCTCTCAGCTGTCCAGCCAGGGGTGAGGAAGCTGCTCTCAGTGATGGTTCTGTGGCAGTTAAATTTGAGAAGTGAGGGAGGGAACAGGAACAACCTTCTCCCAGTGATCAAAGTCCTTTGAAGACCCAGAACCTATCTTTTCATAAAGTTCAATGTCCAGAAGACATTGTATTTCGCACCCTCTGGATTTGCTTTTCCCAGGAGCAAGGCTCCTGAGCAACTGGACATGTGTCAGAGCAAGTTACTAGCGTTGCTCCTGTGTGCCTGCCACTTGACAATTACAAAGTGACTCCGCATTCCTGGCCACGTGAGCCTCACAGCACCAGTTGTAGGTGGGGCTTTATTCTATCCATTTTGCAGAGGAGGAAACTGAGGCCCAGAAAGAGGAAGAGACTTATTATAGATCTCCTATCCTCAATCCGATGTTTTTTCCATGGCTCCTGCTCCAAGGTGGGAGTCTCGAAAGTGTCAGAGCTGGGAATGGGGCTTGCCATGATCACTGACCACCTGTCCAACCTGTTGCCCCACATCTCCCACCCCTAAAGAGGAAAACTGCAGAACAACTAGCTCCTAGGCTGTCCCAGGTGCCAGTGGGCAATGCCTGGGGACAGACAGAGCCTGATCCTAAGACAGGAGCACAGCTTTGGGTGGTGGTAGAATGAGAGTTTGCAAGATCCTTAAAGATCCTCAGGCCCATTCCCCATGCCTCATTCCCTGACCTGAGTCCATGTTATAGGGAAAGAGACTTTGAAATACCCTGTAATCTATCCCCACCCACCCTGAGTCAGCGCATCTAGTGATGAGGGGCACAGTCCTGTGCTACAAGTTGAGTGGAGAAAAACTGTTTCTTGCAACTCCTTTGTTACCTTTTTTTTTTTTTAAGATTATTTATTTATTTGAGAGAGAGAGAATGAGAGAGAGAGAGAGAGAGCATGAGATGGGGGAGGATCAGAGGGAGAGGCAGACTCCCTAGCCCATGTAGGACTCGATCCTGGGTCTCCAGGATCATGACCTGAGCCGAAGGCAGTCACTTAACCAACTGAGCCACCCAGACGCCCCCTTTATTACATTATATTTTAATACGTAGATTGGTTTATTTATTCTGAATAAATAATACGTCTACATGACATGAAATCTGCAAACTGTATAAAGTAAAAAGTCGTCCTTCCATTCCTAGTCTCTAGCACTTTCCCTTCCATTTCTTGTTTATTATCCTAGAGTTGGTCCGATCTTATACCAGCATTAAGTAAATATATTCTCTTTTCCCCTTTTTTCTACCCTGGTCTATGATCTGTTTTGCATTTGCTTTCTTCACCCAGCAGATTGTAAGAGATTGTTCCATGTTAATACAAAAAGAGCTTTGTTGTTCTTTCTTACTGTTGCCAATTATCATTATTCTCTTGCGGAAACATACTGTGACTTATTTAATGTGTCTTTCAAATGTATATTCTAGGGCTTTTGGGTCGGTTGCAGGAAAGAGGATGTGATCCCTTTAGAAAAAAAAAAAAGAAAAGGTTTTGTGTCTGGTTTTGTGTCAGTTAGTGATTTAGTTAGAAACCACTGTGTGTCTGATGGTTGCTAAGGAAGTTGTGTCCTTTAACTCGTCTCTAAATACCCACACTTAATTATCTCTGGACAGAAACCTCCCTGGCCAGAGGGAAAATCACTTAGTCTCATCTGTTTGGAAAAGGCCTCCACGGGCCCACATGCTGCTTGTGTCTGTGATCATTTTCTTGGCAACCCGTGGATAAATGGCAGTTCTTCCTCGCCCGGGCAACAGAGGAAGCAGGTGGTCAGTAGCCAGAGTCCAGTTCTTTTGAGAGAAAAGGTTCACACGTGTCGAAGAGCTTGAGCCTTAATGAAAAGGCAGCCTGTGGGAACGGTGACACCTCACCAAGCTGCTGGATGGCCTGGAGCTGTGACTCAGAAAGTAGGAGGACCCAGGGGGAAGAGGCAAGAAGCGTTTCTCTTTTTTTTTTTTTTTTTTTTAAAGATTTTTATTTATTTATTTGACAGAGAGATCACAAGCAGGCAGAGAGGCAGGCAGAGAGAGAGGGGGGAAGCAGGCTCCCTGCTGAGCAGAGAGCCCGATGCGGGCCTCGATCCCAGGACCCTGAGATCATGACCTGAGCTGAAGGCAGAGGCTTTAACCCACTGAGCCACCCAGGCGCCCAAGAAGCGTTTCTCTTTGATTTTGAGGTGAAAATCAGAGTTTAGCGAGCACTGGTTAATACAAGTTTAAGGATAAGTGAAAAAGATGCGTCGGGACGCCTGGGTAGCTCAGTTGGTTAAGCGGCTGCCTTCGGCTCAGGTCATGATTCCAACGTCCTGGAATCGAGCCCCGCATCAGGCTCCCTGCTTAGCAGAGAGCCTGCTTCTCTCTTTCCCTCTGCCTGCTGCTCTGCTTACTTGCGCTCTCTATCTCTCTGTCAAATAAATAAATAAAATCTTAGGAAAAAAAAAAAAAAAGATGCGTAGTTGTGCCTGGGGTTTGTTTTCCTTGAGTTCTTGCTTTGATTTTATCACAGAAACTCTGCTGATTACTATTTATGGTTTGTTATTCTTGTAAACAATTTGGTAACCTCAGATCTTCTATGGACATAGACAATTAAGTAAAGTATTACCTACATTTAAGAAATCATAAAAATGGAGTTCATCTGTAGGACAAAATACACACAGTCTTTTTTTTTTAAGATTTTTTTTATTCGTGAGTGAGAGTGAGTGAGTGAGAGAGAGAGCACATGCAGGGGGAGCGGCAGAGGGAGAAGCAGACTCCCTGCTGAGCAGAGAGCCGGATGGGGTGTGGGGCTCCATCCCAGGATCCTGGGATCATGACCCAAGCTGAAAGCAGACACTTAACTGTCTGAGCCACCCAGGTTCCCCCTTTCTTTCTTTTTCTCTCTTTCTTTCTCTCTTTCTTCTTTATCTTCTGGTAAAACATATTTACCATAAAAATAACCATTTTGGGGTGTCTGGATGGCTCAGTGGGTAAAGCCTCTGCCTTTGGCCCAGGTCATGATCTCAGGGTTCTGGGATTGAGCCCCGCATCGGCCTCTCTGCTCAGCAGGGAGCCTGCTTCTCCCTCTCTCTCAGTCTGCCTCTCTGCCTACCTGTAATCTCTCTCTCTTTCTGTCAAATAATTAAAAATCTTAAAAAAAAAATAACCATTTTTAGGGGCAAATCTCACAGGGAGCCTGCTTCTCCCTCTGCCTCTCTCTCTGTCTCTCATGAATACATAAATAAAATCTTCAAAAATTAATCATTTTAAGAGCACAGTTCAGTGAGATTAAATACATTCACTTTGTTGTACAACCATTGCCCTATCCATCTCCAGAACTTTTCAGTCATCTCAAATTGAACCCATTAAATAATAACTCCCATTCCTCCCTCTCTCCCTCCCCACCCGTAAGCTCTGGTGACCACTCTTCTACTTTCTGTCACTGTGAGTTTGGTGATTCTCGGTATCATATAAGTGGAGTCATATAATATTTGTCTTTCAGTGTCTGGTTTATTTCACTTAGCATAAAGTCCTCAAGGTTCATCCTCAAGGTAGAATATATCAGAATTTCATTCCTTTTTAAGGCTGAATAATATTTTATTGTATGTGTGTATATAACATTTTGTTTATCCATTCATCCATTGGTGGACATTTGGGTTTTTTTCCCCTTTTGGCTACTGTGAGTGGTGCTGCTATAAACACGAGTGTACCAGTATCTGAGTCCCTGCTTTCAGTTCCTTGGGGTTTATTCCTGGAAGTGGAATTACTGGTTCAGATGGTAATTCTATATTTCATTTTTTAAGGAATCCCTGTACTGTCTGCCACAGTGGCTGCACCATTTCACATCCCCCCCAGCAGCGCACAAGGGTTCCAAGTGCTGCACATCCTCACCGACACTTGTTATTTTCTTCTTCTTTTTCTTTTTTAAAAGATTTTTCTTTTTTAAAAGATTTTATTTATTTATTTGCCAGGGAGAGAGAAAGAGTGAAAGAGTGAGAGAATACAAACGGGAAGCAGCAGGCAGAGGGCTCTCTCCCTGAGCAGGGAGCCCGATGCAGGACTCGATCCCAGGACCCCAAGATCATGACCCAAGCTGAAGGCAGATGCTCAACCGACTGAGCCACCCAGGCGCCCCTGTTATTTTCTTCTTTAAAAAAAAAAAAAAATCCACCCAAAGAGGTGTAAAATGGTTACCTCTTTCTTTCTTATCCTGTGGGATACTTTGCCATTCTGATTCAATTTTCCTCCTTCCCTCTGTCTCTTTCATTTATATCAGATATTGGGAGAGCATCTCCTTTGTGCCAAGCTCAGTGCTAAACACCGGGGATATTGTGACCAGTAAGTCAGGCATGGGGGTGCCTGGGGGGCTCAGTCGGTTAAGTGCCTGCCTTCAGCTCCGTTCCTGATCTCCTGGTCCTGATATCGAGCCCCGCAGTCAGGCTGTCTGCGCAGCGGGGTGTCTGCTTTTCTCTCTGTGCTGTCTCTCTTGCTCTCGCTTTCTCTCCTATAAATAAATAAAATCTTAAAAAAATAAAATAAAATAAGACAAGTATGGTCCCTACCCTCAAGGAGGAAACATAATCTCTTCAGTGTTGTTTGAGCAAATGAATGTCATTCTGTGCTATGGAAGTCAATATTGACCTGTCAAAGGATCTCTGAGTCCTTAACAGTGAAGGTGCAAAGGGTAAGCACCCTCTCTCTATTCCTTGGAGACAGAAGAATTTATGGTCACTGAGCAAAGAGTACATTACAGCAACTCTTTTACTCCCCAAGTGGAAGGGGAGTGGGAAGCTGAGCTATATGAAAAGTTGGAAGGAAGCAGTGAGTGAGGGGCAGGCAGCCTCAACAGCAGGACACTGAGGCTGAGAAGCTTAACAAACCACAGAAGTGTCTAGAAGGTCAGGCAGTAGCTTGAGAAGGAACCAGGCTGCTTGGCTTAGAGCAGAGGGAATTAAGGAGGCTCCAACTTGTGAAGATGTCAAAGAGTGCAAAATGCAGAAGGCCTGCACTTGCAGTGAGGGTAGAAGCCAAGTCCAAGATGGTTTTTCCATCTACCTTTTCATTCATCCCACGTATTCATGCAACAAAGCTTTATTTTACACTTTTCATGTGCCAGGCTGGGCCAGGGTACCGAGTATACTTTGCTGAATAAAACAGTTTCATTCTTGCCCCTGTGAGTCTGAGAGCCCTAGCGATAGAGCCAAGCAAATGAACAAGAAATCAAACACACGTAGCATTGCAAATGGAAGAATGCTATGAGGGGGAAGAACAGGGTATGATAGGATGATCTTGGGAGGGAGGTGTTGAGGAAATAAGTGATTGTGAAAGGCTTCTCTGCACAAGTGACATTCGGGCTGAGGCCTAAGAGATAAGATGTTGGTCATCAGGAGAGCGTTCCACACAGTGGCCAATGTGTGCAGGGGTTCCATGGTGGGGACTAACCTGATATGTTCAAGAAATGGAAAGGAGGCCCTTGGGCCAAAGCATCCCCTTTCATTCTAGGTGCAACTAGAAGAAGTTGAGGGATTTTTAAGTGGGGAAGTAAACAGATATGACTTATGTCTAAAAGTGATTACTCTGGCTCCTTTAGAGAAAGTGAATTGGAGGAGGCAAAGGTGGGTGCTGGGGAACCAGTCAAAGGCTATTAACAGTGGTCCACATGAGAAAGTTTGTGGTTGGAACCCAAGTTTGGGGAGTGGATAGACTTAAGATCTGTTTTGGAGTTAGAGTCTCCAGGATTGAATGATGGGTTGTAGAGGGGGTAATGAGGGAGAGGGAGGAATACGGATCAGTCCCTAGGGTTGTGTGCATGGAGGGAACATAAATGGAAAAGGAAGGTAGGAAGAGCAATGACTCTGGGGGTAACCAAAATCAGTAGTGAGGTTTGGACAGGTGACATTCGAGATGCCTGTGAGCCATCCAAGTGGAAATGTCAAATAAGTAGTTGTATCTGGAACACAGAGGAGAGATCTGGTCTAGGGAAATAAATTTGGGAGCCAGAGAATGATGGAATTGCCTAAAGAGTGCAGCAGGTAAAGAAAAGCAAGCCCAGGACTGAGCCTTGGGAAGGGCGGGCGGGCCCCTCCAGCATTTATCAGTGAAATGGAAGAGTCAGAAGAGGCAGAAGAGGAAGATGGGAATGCCCAAAGAGGGCAGCATCATGGAAACCAAAAGAGAGGGTACTTCAAAAAGGGGAGGAGTCGACTATTAAATGTTCTTGAGATGTCAAGTAAGAGAGGGACAAAAAGTGATCTTCAGGGAGAAACATGGAGATCATGCATGACCTTGAAGAATAGAGTCTGGGGGGCGCGGAGGGGTGGAGGCAGGTGCCAGTGGCGTGGCATCCTAACTGTTGGGCTCACTTGGCTTTGTTGTGATCTCCGGGACACCTGTGGGCATCTGGAAACAGTGAGGTGAGGAGGGTCTGTGTGGCTGATTGAGAGGACTCAGTGCCTCAGAAAGTCAGGCAGGGGAATGTTCTCCTGCCTCTGATTGGTGTGTGTGAAGCTCAAGCTTCCCAAGCCTGATGAGATGGTGCAGGGGTTCGAGAACCCCTGAAAACGTCCTTCTCCAGATTCTGCCCACTAACCTGTTTCCCTCTCCCCCTGCCTCTGCCCCTCCAGGACACTTCACAGCGATGGTGTGGAAGAATACGAAGAAGATGGGAGTGGGGAAGGCATCCGCAAGCGATGGGTCTTCCTTCGTGGTGGCCCGATACTTCCCTGCAGGGAATGTCGTCAACCAGGGCTTCTTTGAAGAAAATGTCCTGCCTCCAAGGAAGTAATTCATTAAATGGAATGGGAACGTGGCCGACTTAACATGGATACGAAGTGCCTAGAACAACAAAAACTCAGCTGCATGTCTGTCCCTGTGGGTGTATGTGCTTGTGTGGGGGATGCTTTTGAGTGTCTCTTGCACACACACTTGGATATACAGTTCTGTACGAACTTATTCTTATCAAAAGGAATGAGCCTATTGAAAGCCTTTACCCTGATGGTTACTTAGACCACAATTATTTGGACTTAAGGGGAAAACGAAAAATCAATTTTAAAACTTTTTTTTTTCCTAAGCAAACTTCTTTTGTACATTTCTTATAATATCCATCCCTGGTCTTTTTCTAATTCCAAATGTTTGTGATGCTTCAAGGTGAAGTTCATTTTATGTGATCTTCATGCATTGTAATCTACTTCTGGTAGATATTTAAGATTATTAAACCCTCATCTAAATGTAACATAAAACCTCTTTAAACACATAAATATAAAGCAACTTCCACTGGAAACATGGGACAGGCAGGAACTGCCTTTCACAGAATGATCGAGATTTCTCAGTTTTAAGACATGATGTCATCTGCATGCCTCCTGGAATTCTCTGATGGGAATGCCAAAGAACAAATGGAGAGAAAAGTTTCACTTCCTTGCATTTTCTCCCTTTAAATAGCAAAGTACCACTACTCACCACCACCCTTGTCCCCCTCCCACCTTTTCTCTTAAAATCCTCGGGCATCTCAGAGCTCCATATGTGCCTCTGGGTTCCTGGGGCCTCGGGTCAGGCCGGAAAGCCGCCCCTCCCCCACCTCAGCGCCATGGCCCAGGGCCTGTTCTGGGAGAGAAAGCCCCTCACACTGCCTGGGCTCCCAGCCAAGCGATCGAAGGATGAAGTCAGTGAGTGTGGGGGTGAGTGTGAGCTCACCAGGGCCCCCAGAGGAAGCCCTCCGGCCTCTGCCCTCCCCGGGCTCACGGGGCGGGAGCCACCGCCTGTTTCTGGCAGCTGCAGGGGCAGCTGTGCCGCTGCTCCCTCCAGGAATGCGGGACAGGCCCAAATGTTCCAGGGAGACATCCCATGGAGTGAGGCGGGGAAGGGAGCTTAGAGTTGCCAGTTTGGTTCTGTGTTTGGCCTCACACCATACAAAGTTCCCCTGCATAACGATTTCACGTGGTCTGTGTGGGAGGACCCGACCCAGATGCCACGCTGGGCGTCGCAGAAGCAGGACCTCTCCAAGCGGAGAGTCATCAGGCTGCTGCCTTAGAGACCCAGTCGGAGCAGGCCAGTCAAGGAACTCGCTTCCTGAAGGTATGGCTGCACTGTGAACGCAGCCTCGAGCTGTGCCCTTCCTTTCACCCAGGGATATTGACTAAGACAATCAAATCTCTTTTGTGTAATATCTTCCATGTCATTCATGCCTGATTCTTAATTGGTGACTAAGGTCATCATAACTCTTAGTTACTGCCCTAGGTAACTCAGGCTTCCCAGTCCCTCCAAATTCTCCCAGGAACTTGCACCCCGCTGGCCTCTATGCTTTCATCTGGGGGACCTACTCTCAAACGGCTGATTGGACCAAAGTGGACATGTGATCCAAGGGCAGCCAATCCCTGGGCTGGCCATGGGCCCGGCATTGGAACTAAGAAATAAGAAAGAATTTGCCAGCGGAACTAAAATGAGGATGCCATGAGTTTGAATTAGGGCCATGGCCAGCCAAAACTATATGCAAGCCAAGTGGCCAGTTGAAAATAAACGGAAGTGAGAAAGCCAGCGTTAGAGGTACAAATGAGGGAGTTCCTGAGCTTTCTAGCTGAGGCCAGTCTGTGTATCATTAAAACATACCCCTCATTTTCAGGGCTTCCCAGCAAAATGATATGTCAAGTGATGTTCCCCAGAAGGTTAGAATATTAGGGTCACCTCCCTTAGGGAGTCTTCTTAAGCCAAAAATGCTGAGCTGGGCAGGGAGTGGAGGGCGGGGAGTGGAATAAAGACTGGGCTGAGGCCACACCTGGGCAACAGGGACTGAATGACCAACCAGTCAGTGAACTTTCTGGTAACTCCCAAGGAGACCATGCACCCAGTACATATACATAGCCAGGTCATGGACCCTGGCATGCAGCCAAGTGCTGACATCTGTTGACTCACTTGGCTGGAGGAAGATAAAAGCTGACCAGAAGAGGTTTCTAGGCTGAAGAAAAGCCAGGCAACAAAGCTGGCTGAGCAGGTGTGCATTAATTTTACTTCCTCAATGGATTTCTTAAAGAAAGCAACTGCTACAGTTCATGAAGGGCAGAGGACAAACCAGACTGCCAGCTCTCCTTTGTGGCCAGAGAACAGAGGAAGGAGACAGGAACCCTGGCTCCAAGCTCCTGCCCTGTGCTCTCAGAGTTGTGTGCCCTTCCCCTCTCTGGGCTGCAGTCTGTCCAGCTGTTCAAAGTCTGGCACAGGGAGTTAAGTCTACTGGATCTTCTCAGGTCCATGGCACCCCCATACCCAACTTTCTCAACTGGAGAGACCTTCCTGCCCTTGTGTTTCTGGTGCTTGAAACAAATGCAAAGGGGCACAGTCATTCCTCCACCAAAATGCCCCAGGATGTGGGGGCAAAGGGGCAGGTACAACAACAGATCTGACCCTACCCAGGCTCTACTCTTGGTTGGAATGCCCCGGAAGCTGAGGCTGGCCAGCCTCTCACCAGGGCAGGCCGGGATGCCAATGGGAATGAAAAAGGTGTCTGCAATCAACACCAACAGGTCTCACCTGCGCGGAAACTGCTGCCACTTCTCGAGAGATCAGGGCTGGCTAAGCCTTTGGAGCTCAGTTAGTCTCATGTGGAGAAAGCAGAGAAAACCCACCCAAACCACACAGCTTGTCTGATGGAGAGGCTGAAATCTAAGCCTTTTTACGGGGAAGACAGAAGTTCTTAGCCTTGCGCAGAGATCTGTCAAGAGACTGAGTGCCTCTATACCATTCAGGAATCAAGGTGAACGGATTCAGCACTAAAACGTAAGTACTTTTAAATCGTTTTCAAGTTGCCAAATCCCCAAGGAAAAAGTCAGGTCTGAAATGGAAGAATGAGATACAGAGAGGATGACTGATAACCTGACTAAGCCAGGGAGGGAAAGAGCTGGCAGGCTCCCATGCCCCAAGCTCCAGGCTCCGGTCTTCCTTGTAGGGGCGCTAAGGACGACCTAAGGGTTGGGAGTGGGGCTTGGGGCCTAGGTCCCCTCGGGACCATCTGGCCGTCGCCGCAAAGGCCTTCGAGTTGAGCCCCTTGCAGGGATCCCCCCAAGGCTGGTCCGGGGTGGGGCCCTTGGGCTCCTCCACTGTCCGCAGAAGCCATCCACCCTCCGCGGGGGCTCCGCTGAACTTTAGCCCTTCCGTGGCACGGGCAACACAGAGACGCGCGGCGGGCACTCCGGGAACCCCACGCCCGCCAGCGGGCGACGGAGTCTGCCGCCACCCCACCCAGCGGGGCGCCCAGGGGGGACGCCGCGAGTCAGAGACAGCTCCTCTCCCGCGTTCCGCACCCCACCTGTAAAGCGGGCACAGGCGGCTTTGTGCTGGACGTGGGAGGCCCTACCTTGGGCACTGCAGTCGCCACCGGGCGCCGGGCGCGAGGGAACCGCGCGGCGAGGGGGCTGGGGTGGTTGGGAGGGGGGCGCTGCTGTCCCCGCAGGGAGCGGGGGCTGCGGGCGAGCTCAGGGAGCGCGGTCACCCGGGCCTCGGCGGCCGGAGATGTCCCTCCAGCTCCACCGCGTGGCGGGACCGGGCTGGCGCAGCCCGCCCAAAGAGGGCGCGGGGTTCCGAAGGGATTCGATTCCCCGCCACCACCAAACACCGGCCAGAGGATGACAGGTATTTACGTACAAAGGGAGCACCCAAGGATACCGGCGCTGGGTGAACTAATATAATATCAATAAAGTAAGGGCAGCTAAATTTATTGAACGTTTTCTACAAGCCAAACATTGTACTTAACACGCTCTAATCATTTTCTCATTTAAATTCTTAATAACCTTCCAAGCGGGTGCTGTTATTCCTGTCTCACAGATGAGGAAACTGAAGTTTACAGAGTCTGAGCCACTTGTCCAAGTCGATGCTTGATGGAGAGAGCTGACCGGCCACAGCCCCCAAAGTTGCATGACTACAGACTTGGAAATGTGGAGAGAAGGTCCCAGTTTGCTGTAGAACTGAAATCATCAGGGCTTCAGAGGCCCTCCCATTCCCCAGTGTGTGGCTGACTCTTCTATCCATGCTCCAGTCAGTGGCCTCTACCTCTCCCTCCATTTTAAAGAATGGTGTCATTAAAAAAAAAAAAAAAAAAGTGGTGTCCATGGCTACAAAGGTTAGAAGGCAAAGGACAGAGCCTGAAATTCTTCTCTGATGGCCAAGAGCCTTGGCAGAGAAAGGTACCTTGAGTACCTTGAGGCCTAAGAATCAGAGACTGGGGAAAGCTAAGTAGTTAGGAGCTTCCTGGAAAGATGAGTACTGTGACAGAAGACTTGGCTTCCAGGGGTCTCATTCCAACCTGCTGTGTGATCTTGGGCAAGTTCCTTCTCTTCTCTGGGCCTGTTTCCCTCCTGTACATGGAAGGATCCTTCTAAATCCAAAAATCGCTTTTCTTCCTCCACCTTCCCCTTTTCCCTTCCTATACCACCCCCACCCAGACTGGCTCAAACATTCCAGAAATAGGCTTGAACTGAGTTTTAAAAGCCCTGGATAAGAGTCGCAACCCATCTCCAAGTTTCTCCTGAGCTCTGGGCCCAAGGCTTTAAGTCCTGGCAGGAGATCTAGCCTCGACAGGTTGGAGCCATCAGAGGGGAGAAAGGCCCTGTGCCTCTGAGAAAGGCCTCAGGGGCTGGCATTGTGATGACCTCATCCATTCTATGACATCACCCTCTCTCCCAGCCCCCGTCCTCCCTGATCAACTGCTCTGCAAACAACCATCAATCTGAATCCCAAAGGCCTGAGAACGTCTGTTCTCCAGTACCTGCTGCTGATCTTCTGCCTCAGCCAGCCAGAAGCACCATGAAATTGGAATTCACGGAGAAAAACTACAACAGCTTTGTGCTGCAGAACCTGAACAAACAGAGGAAACGCAAAGAGTACTGGGACATGGCCCTGACTGTGGACCACCATGTCTTCTTTGCACATCGCAACGTGCTGGCTGCTGTCTCCCCACTGGTGAAGAGCCTCATCTCCAACAATGACATGAAGACCACCGATGAGCTCTTTATCACCATTGACCCCAACTACCTGAGTCCGGCCACGGTGGACCAGCTCCTGGACTACTTCTACAGTGGCAAGGTGGTGATCTCGGAGCAGAACGTGGAGGAGCTCCTTCGCGGGGCCCAGTATTTCAACACGCCACGCCTTCGAATCCACTGTAACGACTTCCTGATTAAGTCCATCCGCCGTGCAAACTGCTTGCGTTACCTCTTCTTGGCTGAGTTGTTTGAGCTCAAAGAGGTGTCAGACTTGGCCTATTCTGGCATTCGTGACAACTTCCACTACTGGGCCAGTCCCGAGGGCTGTATGCACTTCATGCGCTGTCCCCCTGTCATCTTTGGACGCCTGCTCCGAGATGAAAACCTGCATGTGCTCAATGAGGACCAGGCTCTCAGTGCCCTCATCAACTGGGTGTACT